GGAGGGGGCATCTACAACTTCCTTGGGCAGCTAATGAGGGAGATAACCTAAGTGGGAGTGACCGAACAGGTTCTTTTTAAAGGCAAAGTGAGGAAAGCAGAGGCAAGTTTGACCAGGTTGTACCCCATTAAAATACACTCTGTGTGCCACTTACTCTTTTCTGTTTTAGGTTTAGCTTATGCTTCTGGCTTGGCTGCTACTTTGAATATTACTCACCTGTTAAAGGCAGGGGATACGATTATCTGCATGGATGATGTCTATGGAGGTATGTAAAGCACAAGTGTGGTTTTGATCTTCATTAAATGTACCTATTTGTGATTCTCATCAACTTCCTGAATTTCCCACGTAGGACTTGACTTTTCTTTAAAGCCTCTTCACTTCATGAGGACACAGAACACTCCTGTCAGATTTTGGTGTTAGAAATTCAAACACTAAAAGATTCTGTGGCACAACGTGGAGGTTTAAAAAGTAGAGCTAACTAGTAACGTGCTTGAATGAGGGGAAAACAGCAACATCCTTGCCTTGCAGAGATTTGTTTGCAGAGCAGGACCCTCTGCAGTCCAGCAGAGCAGAGCTTTCCAGCTTCTGGGGTTTCTACCATCCCTTTCCTAGGTTTGACCCTTTACCAACCAGCATTTTGTCTGGACTGTTTCAGACAATCATAGAATCATAGAATGGTTAGGATTGAAGGGGACCTCAAAGCTCATCCAGTCCCAACCCCCCTGCCAGCAGCAGGGACACCTTCCACTAGACCAGGTTGCTCAAAGCCTCATCCAGCCTGGCCTTCAACACTTCCAGGGAGGAGCAGCCACAGCTTCTCTGGCCAACCTGTTCCAGTGTCTCACCACCCTCACAGTGAAGAACTTCTTCCTAATATCTAATCTAAACCTCCCCTCTTTCATCTTAAACCCATTTCCCCTTGTTCTGCCCTTATGAAAAGTCCCTCCCCAGCTTTCTTGTAGGCCCCAGATCTTTGTTTTCACAGAACTGCTTTGTTTTCACAGGAAGGTCAGAGAGGCCAACAGTAGGTAGCATTTTCCCAAGCAGTAGCTGGAAAACCTTTTAACCAAAGTAATCACCTTTCCCATCCCTGAGAGTCTGTTTGCCAGTCAGTTCTCTGTGCCTGTGCACATCAAATATAAATACACACATTTGCTTTCAGTGTCTTAGTTCTGTCCTGCCAGATAACTCCTCCAAAGTACATCTGGAGCCCAGCTGAGTGAAGACAGCAGG